TAAATCAGGTTTCGGGCAAACACACAGACCCTGGCTTTCAATTCACATATACAGATGCACATAAGGGAGGTAGAGAGGTTAAAGTTATTAGTTTGAGAAACCAGTATAATGGTCAATTCCATCAGTCATGTCATACTCCCCACTCTGATGCTTTCACTTTCTCGTTAACACCAATTTAACCTTCACTAATTATTTTACTTTTCACTTATTATTTCAGATTTTTTTTTTTAATCGTTGTTAAACTTCTGTCAATGAAACTCAATCATTTTCAGAGTATGAAGCAATCAGAAACAATTAGTGAATGAAACCAGTATTAGTGTTAAACAGATAAAGCACTTTCACCAGAGTGGTGACATGACTGTTAATGTACTGACAGATACCATCACGTTACGGCATCAGGAGAAAAAAATCAACCACAATGAGTCAAAAGCAAGACCAGCGATTCTTTTTCTTTCTTCTCCACCCCAACCTACTTGTTCACGTGTCTGAAGAAAAAACAACAACACTTAAGATGCATCTTGACACAATCTGGCCACTTAGACTCGGAGATGTATTGCAGTTCTTTGACTGACCCTCGCTGTCCACCATCGTTACAGTTATCTAGCAGCTAGCTCAGTGTTTCTGCTGCTACTTCTATCCGTAAGTAGTGTTTCACGCAGGAGGACGCCACAGTAATGTTGCATGAACAGGGACTTTTTATTTCTCTTTTCTGACATCAAATACAACACAAAGCCTTTCAGTAACCATTATGCTTATTGAACCACGTTACAGCTGACCAAAGTAACTTAACTACTACTTAAAGCCTGTGAATGTGGCAACGTGCTGACACCGGGAGAGACTCGCTTCCCACAACAAACCCACTTGACTACGGCTACATCAACACTACTGCGTTAAAGTTTTGCACCTCGCGTCCACACCCCTCCAGTGTTTTATTACCTCTAAAGCAGAAACATTTGATAACACTACTGGACCCCTTTTCAGTTTTAAAACACCGTTTTGGTCTGGTCACACGCTCTTGTCCCGTTACTCTTTTCCAGAAGGAAACAAAAAGCATCCACGACTCATGCTTTATGAACCACCATTTATTCACCCCGGTTCATGCTGTCTTTCGCAATGTGTTCTTCATGGACGTTCATATCATATCATGATGACGAATATACAATTGGCCTAGTTAGACATGTCTTGCTGGGTTTTATACTTGTGGCCCATAGACTATTGAATACAGAGGAAATAAGCACCCTTTCTTGCATAGATTATTGCTTGAGGACCCGTTGACACAATCTGGGAGCAACATCTCCCTGCAGACCCAAAGCGTTTCTATTTTAACCAGTGGAGATTTTCTAGCCTTTACGGCACTGCTTTAGCGGCCCACAAAACATAATCTCACATGATGCTACTCGGCTAATCAGATCTGTGCATTCTGGTCAGAGATATGCATACGGGGGGATGAGATGAGTCGGTTGGAGAAAGAAAGCAAAAAGCAGGAATGTAAATCACCGATAACATTATGACGCAAAGCACAGAGCATCTTCTGAGCAAACATACTTACTCAAATCCGAACTAAGTGCGCAGACAATAAACGACCAATCAACCAATGCGATAGATCCACTAGAAGGCATTAAAAATACCTAAATAACCTGGAATACCACAATACTTTGATACTGCCCAAGGCAATGACTGGACAAAAAAAGCAAATAAAACTGGCAAACTGATTTTTTTTTTCCTGTATATAACGCTTGTGGTAACACGTTATGGTCACCATAAAGATTACCCAGCAGGATGCACTATCCTTTACAATACTGCAGTCAGCCGTATCAAGTGACAGGAGAGAAGTAACTCTCGTCGCTGTCAACCCCGCGTCACACAGCACAGAGGACTGGTACTTAATCAATAACTGTAAAATGGTGCTGGAGTCGAGAAAGACAGCCGCCTCACTAATGGTTACAACTATAAACCAGCACTAATATGATCAAAATAACATATAAACACATTACTAACACAGACCAACATGATCTGAACAGACTTTGTTTACATACTAAAAGCAAACAAAGTCAGTTGAGTACCGGGACAACTCACAGCCGAGCAGATGGTGGCGGAGTCCATCAATCTTCACAGTAATTTGCTAACTAGTTGGTGAAATACATTACTTAAAGGATTATAAACAATGAACCCATCATTTCCACCTTTCAACATAACTCTGATATGACCCTGTGCTTTATCGCTGTCGCCCCTCTCATGCTTATCACGTCTGTTTGCTGTGTTAGTATAGCTAGCTATAGTTAGTACAATCAGTATAACAGATTTAAATATAAGCGGCGATGGCTGTCGAAGCGGAGACGAGGTTGTACATTTGTTTTAGTAAACAACACAACATTACTATAGGCCATGTCGTAGGTAAAGCTGACTGTGGAGCGCCCTCTGGTGGATAATAAAGCAAACTACTTCTTTTACGTTCTTATTGACTGTAAATTTTGAATTCGAGCAGATCATTACACAAATTAACCACGTTTTAACAATTTTTTTATTGAAAATGTTATCATTTTATTGATGAAGTGTGTACTGTTGACACATATTGCTGCCGTTTTATTGCCCGGGCCTACCAGAAATCCATCAGATCGTCCGAGACCCAGATTGTTGACTGTTCCAGTGATTAATCAAGCATCACTACCGCCCTCAAACTGCACTGTAAGCGACAACCGCTCCGGCAGCAATCCCATTTCCACTTTGATTCTAAAATTAGGGAGGGGGGAGACCAATTCTGGCAAAAATCTGACGTAGTCCGTCTGCCTGCCTGGCTTTAAATGCCATTAAAAAAATAAATAATAATACGTTGACCTTTGAACAACGTTATCAGTGAGATGCACACACACTGGGGCAAAAAAACTAAAACTAAAATGACAATAAGCTTCAGAGATCATCATGAAACTTAAACTGCACAAATTTTAAAAGGGTGGAAACGTTCATTACCTCAAGACTGATCTAGCTATAACCCTCCAGTGATCTGATTCTCATATTTAATATACCAGTGCAAAGTAATGGAAAGGGGGGGCGGGTTTTGCACACATACATTTACCTTTAAAAATGCATTTGACTGTTTTTTTCCAGTCGAAGTTCCAAGTTGCTTTATGTATACTGAAAATATAACATAATTAAGCTATGTGGCAATGTGGTGTCTACCCCTGTTGTGTCCTGGATTGTTCGTGAACAGGAAAAATATCTATCGGACCAGAACGTAGCATAATAAATGTATCCTTGCCCCTTTGTGAAATAGGCTGCGTTCAAGGCTCGGCACCAACGGACTGCAATACTGGTTGGTTATCATCTACTGCTGGTGAGGTAACCGCTAACACAAGTCAGTCACATAGCTCTCCAAGCTTTTTGCTATTGTTTTCCCGTATTGTCGTCCCCTTTTGTTGTCAGGACTGTACCCCTTCTCATACAATTACAGGAATTATACCCCAGGCAAATTGCCAGTGCCGTGGATGCCCCACCATGTGGCCGTAATGCCCCTTCTAGAATTAACTACCCA